AATAAACCAAAAGGAGTCATAATCAGCGATTGTGATGTGAATTTTTTGCTTTTGGCCAAGTTTGTAAAACTGTGCCCTTAAGACCGTGGAAACATGGGCCGATTCTTCGAGGGGTTTGCACTTTGCAGATCCTCGGCCAAATAATTCTATAGATATCAGAGAGCACGAAGAACACAGGAAACTCTTTTTATAAGAACGTTTCTGCCAAATCCACATGAAACACAAATCTAAGTCATTGACAACCAGAGTTCCTGCCATTTATCACATGCATCTTCTTTCAGGCCCGAAACAAGTCCACAGCCTGACTTAATAGTCTGAGTAAATGCTCCGTGCCAAAAAGAGCACTTTATTAGGGTGGGAATGTTTGCTTTTAGATTATCTGACATAGCGTTCCTGGCTTGATATAAGTACAAGTAGGAGAAAAATGGACTAAGGCTAGAATGGACTAACAGTCTGAAAAAAAACCACAACTTAAAAATAAAAATACAAAAAATAAAACAGTTATACTGAAAGCCTTCCATGAAGGCACAGTGCCCATGGTCTAAGCATTGTAACTTCACTGTACAGATGTTAACAACATCTCAAATCCTTGGAACAACCCACCCTTACAAAACATGCAAATTATGTAAAAGAAAAAAAACGGATTCTTTCGGCTAGCTCTCACTGGTTGCATAAGCAGCTCAAGTCATAATAAGCAGTCATTTACAAGACACTTTCAAAGCGACGCCGGCATAATTGTGCTGGCTTCTAAAATACATTATTTTGCCAAATTTTATGGCAAAAAGCCTTTGCAGAAATCCCAGAATGCAATGAGACAAGCTTGTTGAGAAAATTAAACCAGGATGGTGAAAGAGTTGAGAAAACTGTTAATTATAAATTAACTTGTATTGCATTCAGTGCTGAAAAGCATTGATAGAAATTAACTTTAAATATGTTTTAGCTTAGCAAAACAGTAGTAGCTACAAAGAAAACCATATAAATGAGCAGTATTTCTTGTTTTAGTCCAGAGGTGTCCAAACCTGCTCCTGGAGGGCCACTGTCCTACGGAGTGTAGCTCCAACCCTAATTAAACACACCTGAACCAGCTAATCAAGGTCTTCTGACTCAATAGAAACTTCAAGTGTGCTGGAGTTTGTCCGGAAACCTAAAAAAAAAATTGAAAACCTCAAAAACAGCACCTACTCACCAATTCCCAAGCCTGTGCAAGTGCCCGTGTCCCAGTCTGTGCCCAGGATGCTCCAGCCCGCCGGCAGAGGCAGATGTCTAAGAGCAAGAGCCAGAGTATCATCCAAACTCTCACACTCCTTCAGAGGGATCTGACACTCGTCCAGAAGTAACGCTCCCTCGGTCTTCCCAACCGCGTTCACTAGGAACTGGGCCATGTCCAGGGCGAGGTCCTGCACGAACTGGAAGCGTTCCTCAGCCACAGGGTCCACTGAGCCCCCGGGCCGGGCCTGGCACAGCGTGACCCGCACGGTTTCACTACGATCATGAGCTGTTATGAGACAAAAAAATAAACATTGGACAGAAATATATTATATTGTGTCATGCTTTTGTGATGCTGATGTCCACAAGCTTTCCACAACTTTGTCAACAATAGATCAATTATGACTAAACAAACTAGCTATTTCTTTGAACATTTTAGTAATTTAAAATTATTTTAAAAAATTATTTTTTACACGGCACCCTGGTTGGGCAACACTGCATTAGGTCAACGACTACTCGACAACAAAAATATTTGTCGACAATTTTTTATTGTCGATAATGTCGATTAATCGTTTCAGCCCTAAATCCCATTGCCTCATTTTTCATTATTATCATCTACTATGTGCCATGCAACGTGTCCGAATAGCAGCCAATTCAGTTGCCATCTTACACACTGGAAACAGTCATTATTAACCTTCTAGACATTTTTTTTTTATATATATATAATGTGCTTAATTTCACTTATGGAAGACTGGCCGTACAGGCCCACTGATGCACTGCGTGCAGCTCTGGTTTCAGGGCTGGTCCAGGTGCCCAGCACCAGCTTCCACAAATGCCAGAGCTTGGGGAGTCATTACACAGCTCGCCTCTCCTTCAACAGACAGGTCAACTCTAGGAACTTGTTTTTCTGATACATTTATTCAGCATAATGACCACTGAGAACTTACTAAAAACAAGATTTCAAGGAAACGCTACATCTACAGCAACTTAATCTACATCTGCAGGAAATACAAAACGTTACCAACATGTGCCCAGGTACCAGATAAAACCTGCTATTGTCTTTTCTCTCTTTGCTCAGGGTGCTGAACTTTGCATTAATAGGTATCAGTGCTTTCAGTTGTTGAATGAGTTATTTAAGACCAAGTCTGTTTATAAGAGATTAGCCTGTGCTTATTATGACGTCACAGGGCCTGTTTGGCCTTTGTTGGCTGTTATCACTCGCTGCCTACGGTCCAGCTCTCATCAAACCTCCTACATGGACCCAGATTGTGTCTAATTTAGAGGACAAGCTTTGGTCACATGAGAGCCGGGAATCTGTTGCTGCGTCAGCGGCCCTGATGCATGATTCCTCACTGTGCAATTGTTTGGATCCACACATCAGCCGGATCCACACACTCATTCTAGCACACTTAATATACACAAGCTCATATTTCTGCCCAGAGTATTACAGCTAGATAGGAAACACACAAAAACGTCCACCATGGTGGGACAGGGAACAGGGGCTTCCCAAGGTAATTGCTGTTTACGACTGCAATCAGCTTTTAGCATTTGTCTGATATCTTTTCAATCTTTTGTTTGGCTTTGTTCAGGTTGCAAATTATAATCATCAACCGAAAGTTTATTTTCAGTTCCCCTTTCAGTTCCTGCATGGTTGAACGCAAGTGACACAATAAAACAAATACAATACAACTGTACTTCTGCTGGCATGTGTGCTGTGTACAAATCCTCCGAAAACACTTGACAATGTAGATGGTCACACAGTGCATAGTACATTATGTGAACATAAATAATAAATATTTATATAATTCATAAAAAACTAATAAACATTTGAATAATGTTCTTACAAATAATAATATTGTAATGATAAATATTTCTAACAATAATAAAATAAACAAATAAAATAATAAATATTAGACCCTTATAAAGGTCTAATATTTTATATGTTTTTTAAAGAAGTCTCAGCAAGACTGCATTTATTTATTCAAAAAAAACTTAAAATAATCCTTTAAAATACATTTTAATATAATTAATCCATGTGATGGCAAAGCTATATTTTATCTCATATTTAATGTTAAAAGTTGTGCTGCTTAATATTTTTGTGGAAACACCGATACATTTTTATCTAGATTTATTATTGACTCCCAAATTTGAATGGTACAGTAAATAAATAAACCAAAAGGAGTCATAATCAGCGATTGTGATGTGAATTTTTTGCTTTTGGCCAAGTTTGTAAAACTGTGCCCTTAAGACCGTGGAAACATGGGCCGATTCTTCGAGGGGTTTGCACTTTGCAGATCCTCGGCCAAATAATTCTATAGATATCAGAGAGCACGAAGAACACCGGAAACTCTTTTTATAAGAACGTTTCTGCCAAATCCACATGAAACACAAATCTAAGTCATTGACAACCAGAGTTCCTGCCATTTATCACATGCATCTTCTTTCAGGCCCGAAACAAGTCCACAGCCTGACTTAATAGTCTGAGTAAATGCTCCGTGCCAAAAAGAACACTTTATTAGGGTGGGAATGTTTGCTTTTAGATTATCTGACATAGCGTTCCTGGCTTGATATAAGTACAAGTAGGAGAAAAATGGACTAAGGCTAGAATGGACTAACAGTCTGAAAAAAAACCACAACTTAAAAATAAAAATACAAAAAATAAAACAGTTATACTGAAAGCCTTCCATGAAGGCACAGTGCCCATGGTCTAAGCATTGTAACTTCACTGTACAGATGTTAACAACATCTCAAATCCTTGGAACAACCCACCCTTACAAAACATGAGGAAACTCTTTTTATAAGAACGTTTCTGCCAAATCCACATGAAACACAAATCTAAGTCATTGACAACCAGAGTTCCTGCCATTTATCACATGCATCTTCTTTCAGGCCCGAAACAAGTCCACAGCCTGACTTAATAGTCTGAGTAAATGCTCCGTGCCAAAAAGAGCACTTTATTAGGGTGGGAATGTTTGCTTTTAGATTATCTGACATAGCGTTCCTGGCTTGATATAAGTACAAGTAGGAGAAAAATGGACTAAGGCTAGAATGGACTAACAGTCTGAAAAAAAACCACAACTTAAAAATAAAAATACAAAAAATAAAACAGTTATACTGAAAGCCTTCCATGAAGGCACAGTGCCCATGGTCTAAGCATTGTAACTTCACTGTACAGATGTTAACAACATCTCAAATCCTTGGAACAACCCACCCTTACAAAACATGCAAATTATGTAAAAGAAAAAAAACGGATTCTTTCGGCTAGCTCTCACTGGTTGCATAAGCAGCTCAAGTCATAATAAGCAGTCATTTACAAGACACTTTCAAAGCGACGCCGGCATAATTGTGCTGGCTTCTAAAATACATTATTTTGCCAAATTTTATGGCAAAAAGCCTTTGCAGAAATCCCAGAATGCAATGAGACAAGCTTGTTGAGAAAATTAAACCAGGATGGTGAAAGAGTTGAGAAAACTGTTAATTATAAATTAACTTGTATTGCATTCAGTGCTGAAAAGCATTGATAGAAATTAACTTTAAATATGTTTTAGCTTAGCAAAACAGTAGTAGCTACAAAGAAAACCATATAAATGAGCAGTATTTCTTGTTTTAGTCCAGAGGTGTCCAAACCTGCTCCTGGAGGGCCACTGTCCTACGGAGTGTAGCTCCAACCCTAATTAAACACACCTGAACCAGCTAATCAAGGTCTTCTGACTCAATAGAAACTTCAAGTGTGCTGGAGTTTGTCCGGAAACCTAAAAAAAAAATTGAAAACCTCAAAAACAGCACCTACTCACCAATTCCCAAGCCTGTGCAAGTGCCCGTGTCCCAGTCTGTGCCCAGGATGCTCCAGCCCGCCGGCAGAGGCAGATGTCTAAGAGCAAGAGCCAGAGTATCATCCAAACTCTCACACTCCTTCAGAGGGATCTGACACTCGTCCAGAAGTAACGCTCCCTCGGTCTTCCCAACCGCGTTCACTAGGAACTGGGCCATGTCCAGGGCGAGGTCCTGCACGAACTGGAAGCGTTCCTCAGCCACAGGGTCCACTGAGCCCCCGGGCCGGGCCTGGCACAGCGTGACCCGCACGGTTTCACTACGATCATGAGCTGTTATGAGACAAAAAAATAAACATTGGACAGAAATATATTATATTGTGTCATGCTTTTGTGATGCTGATGTCCACAAGCTTTCCACAACTTTGTCAACAATAGATCAATTATGACTAAACAAACTAGCTATTTCTCTCAAATCAAACAGGGAGGTCTCCTTTAAATCATCTTCACACTGATAAAAAAAAAAAAAAAACAACTACAAAAAAAAAGGATCTTGCTTAATATTTTGGCAGCCAAACAGACAAAAAGGAGACTTAAGTGCCTATGGTTGAGCGGAGATGGATATCATTACTGAGATATGTTCCTGCATTAACAACTCATTTCCATTTCCAAGAGGGAAACAGCCGGAGACAGAGGTGACATATTATAAAACAACATTCAGAAACAATTAGAACTTCACCATGAGGGCTGCCAGGAGGCCTGTCTTGTATCACTAAAGTTATGAGATGTCATTGCGACAACACGCATCGCGAGGGTTGGTGTGCGAGCGCCTTTTCTGTCAATGCAGAAAAAACCCAATGTGTAAGTCCACACTCATCAGCAGCACATTTGCTTGACCAAAACATCTCAGTGGGACATCTGTCTGGGTTCAAAGCATTTGAGCCATTTTTGCCGATAAAGACCTCTTAGCAGCCAAACATTTGGATTCAACCAAAAGTATGGACCTCCAGCAGAGAGACAAAGGGTTGAAAGTGTACCCTGGCGGGCTGACAGCGGTGCACCTGAGGCGGACGATAGTAGGGCCATTCTTCATGCTCTCTTAATGCATTGCTGAAAAGCTTTCAAGTGCTCAGTCGGAGTAGTGATTACAAAACCGGTGCCAAACGTCTGCACTGGATTCCATAACACTGTATCTACTGTGACCCTCTGTGGAAGTGCTCCGGGGATATGGTTGAAATGTATTCATTTTTTGACTTTAAATACCGCCTTAATTGCAGATGGGGGGGGCTGTTGCGTTTTAGTTTTTATTTCTTTGTGAAACAAGATAAGATCACAATGCTACCAGTTCCCCCGCAAAGGAAAAATGCCTCAATAACATCAGTGGTTACAAGATAAATCTTTAGTTAATTACAGTAATGCATTGTGCCTGTTAATGGATGGTTGCCCAGGGTGTTTTGAGTGGTTGATATGTTGTTGTAAGTTGGTTGCTAGGGCATCGCTAAGGCTGGTAGGATGTTTTAGGGTGTTGCTAGGTAAATGCTTACTAGTGCTTACATATTGTTCAGTGCTACTCTCTCTTTTTGAAAGTTAAAAATAAAATAAAAAAATATACATACAAATAAACAAACAAACATACAGTGGGGCAAAAAAGTATTTAGTCAGCCACCAATCGGAAAAAGAAACCATCCCCTACTATCCCTCGGAAAAATTAAATAAAATAAAACATGAAACAAAGTATAAAAACTAACTAAAACATCAAACTAACTAAATAAAGAAAGAAATAATATGAAAGACAAACAAAAGGACAGAATAAAAACCGAAAATATACTCAATCCAATTACTCCAGTTCTGTTTAGCAAGTCATTTAAAAAATAAATAAATAAATAAGGTCAAACAAAAGTGTATGTATATATATATATATATATATATATATATATAAACAAACATAAATAACAATCACACAAACAAATAAAAGACAAAAAAGAAAATGGAAAAAGAAACCATCCCCTACTATCCCTCGGAAAAATTAAATAAAATAAAACATGAAAAAGTATGTACAAAGTACAAAGTATAAAAACTAACTAAAACATCAAACTAACTAAATAAAGAAATAAATAATATGAAAGACAAACAAAAGGACAGAATAAAAATCGAAAATATACTCAATCCAATTACTCCAGTTCTGTTTAGCAAGTCATTTAAAAAAATAAATAAATAAATAAGGTCAAACAAAAGTGTATGTATGTATGTATGTATATATATATATATATATATATATATATATATATATAAACAAACATAAATAAAAGAAACAAGGGACTAAATAAATAATTTAAATAAAAAGGACAAACAAAAACATATATAAATAACTATAAAAACATAAATAAAATAAACAAAGGATTAAATAAATAAATATTATGAAGGACTAACAGAAACAGAAAGGCAAACCCTCCCTCATTACCCAGAACAAGTCTAGTATTGCACCAATAAAAAAAAAAAAAAAGTGTATATGTTTGTAGACTCTGATTATATTTTCTTCCACCTCTTTGGACATATTACTACATGAAGCAAGAATGTGTCTGTTCATTAATAGCTACTACTTGTGCATGAATCTTTAGAAGCAGCACTGGGACAGCTGAATCAGCTCAAGCATGTGCTCAGCGCAGTAATACAGAGGTTGCCCTGTGGTAACTGGGACAATTTTGTGGGTGAATAATTGAGCAAAGCGACAACGTGCCAAGCAATGCCTGGACCAGGTCCGGCATGACTGGAATGTAAATGAGTCGATCTCTGCAGGTAATGAGCATCTACTTTCAGGAAGAAGCTAACAATTATCAAGCAATGATAAAATACTGTACATGGACATGGACACGGACGTGGAATGTGTTGTGTGACCGCTGGTGTTTTAAATACTGACCTGGGCACACAGCTTGCAGCGTGACATGGCTGACTTTCAAAGTGCTGGAAATGTGCCTCTGGGTGGTGCCGGCGAATAGTAGGTAAAACTCTACATCCTCCTCATCCTCGACACACTCTTCCTCACAGAGCTGGACAGTCAACAGACACTCGCCCTGAACAAGAGAGAGAAAACAGATTATATACTGCTTTTAAAGAATTAGTTTAAATATTTCAAGAAATCTACCCCTATCTGTCACTGTTAGGCTGAAAAAGAATCCAATTGCATTTTAAATTATAGTGGAAGTGCGACAATCAAGGACTGAGAAGTCCTTCTCATGTTCTCTCAAAAGACTAAAAGCAGTACTGAAAAAGCGTTTAATCGCCTGTGGGTGCAGAAAGTTACACAACGCAATGCATCAACTCCTATAAATCATCATTACTGGATCCACAAACAACAGGGAGGCATCAACACCTGTCCCTTTAGAGAGACGCATTTCATTACAAAGACAGCTGTGACAGAACAGCAGCCTATATACAGTACATATCAACAAATGCTGAAAAAAAACCTGTCATTAGCTTTTCCCCTCCCACATAATTATAACTTTACGGTTATAAAAGTTCAACATGTGTCTGTGGTGGGTCTGTATGTGTGTGTAAGAGCTTTTTACACTCTTAAAAATAAAGGTGCTTCACGATGCCATAGAAGCCCATGAGGCCACGTGAGAGGAGGCGCCATATTCGAGAACGGCAGAAGGCCGCGACGCGGCTCTCTTCAAGTGTAAGTACCTCAGGGAAAAACCTTGTTCACTGTGGTTAAATTGCACTTGTTTAACATGATCTAAGTGAACGGCTGACTTATTGAAAGTTTAAACATTGTAAGTCGATGAGATGATTTCGTGAGTCGGCTGTAAAAAGATGTTTAAATCGCCGATGAAAGTGGTAAGAATTACGTGAAACATTGCTGATGTTCGCAGTAGTGAGGGCTCTTTAAATTTAGGCGATGTTGTGGAGACGCACGTCACGTGACAACATCAACATGGCGGATGTAGTACGTCCGAATTCCATTCATACTACTCGCATTCATACTATATAGAACGTACTTTTTTAACGGTCGAGTAGTACGTTCAAATTCAAATGTAGTACCTACTAAGCAGTATGCGATTTCGGACGCACCCAGGGCCTTCAGAGTGTGACGCAAGCAGTGGGACATCCTAGTGAGAGATGTTTTCATGGGGCCCTTGCCAAATGCCAGTCAGCTGCTTTTTTTGGCTGACGATGATCACAGCCGAGTGATTCGGAGACACGACTGAATCCACATTGTGAGATTAACTCCTGTGCGCTCTAGGTTTGTTTTTACAATTATAAATAAATGAAATACCACTCTTAATTCAATTTCATTTTTTGGGGTTATTGTTTTTTTTGTACTGTTTCTTATTATTTTGACAAATAACAAAAACTAAATCTGCATATCAACAACTGACAGGTGTTCGAGTTGTTAAAAGTGAAAGACAAACTATATATACAAACATTCTTGCCAACAAAAATGACCTTAGGCTCTACTTACATTACCAACATTCTAAACTTGTTAACACACACCCCATGTCCTATTCCTGATGCTGTAGTCGGTGACAACTTGAGAAGGAGGTGAAGGTGTAAAGCAAGGCCACAAACTACATCGCAAGAAATCAGTCAGTACAACCGACTTTGCTTCCCTACTGGTGGAATCCCAGGGTGTAGGAAGGGCATTTATGGCCAGGTCATATGACTAACTTGCATGAGAAGCAGTTATGGTGACCCTTTGATCTGAGCGACATGCATACATTTTAGGAATCTGACTGCTACATCCAAAGGCTGTTTAAGGGTAACCAAGCCCACCCTTTGTTGATGATGATACATAGGCCTCTAGAAATATGTTCATGATGGAAGCTATCTTCATATTAGAAGCCAGAAACATTAATTGGTTGTAAATATATTTTATTTTTACTGCTAACATGCACAAGTCAGCCACGGGCCACTTTTAGACTATGGCGGCCCAATATGGATAGCAGGTGCTGGACCAGGAAAAGTGCCAAAGGCGAGAGCATAAACAAATGAAACAAAGACCACCCTGGTGACTGTGTCAACGGTGTCCATAAGACATGGAGATTCAGATTCGATGATACCGGTCTTTGTGTGATCCTACATCTTTGTTTTTATCAGGTCACTTTGTCTTATAAACAAACACAGGATTTTGGTTTTCAGGATTCATGGTTGATTTATTAAATCCTTCAAATCATTAATGCCGCATGCAGGCCTGGAGATATTTTAAAGCTGATGCGTGTTAATCCTTGATAGATTTTCTAAGCAGAAGATCTAAAATAGCCAGAATCCAATTTATCTTCCCCAGAATCTTTTGGCTCATCTGAATATAGGATCCATCTTTTCAGGAAGCATTTTTGGCACCTGAAGCAGGCTCACAGGGGGTTCTCGAAGTACTGTTGATACTTTGGTTGTTCATTGGTCTATTTCAGGATCTCGCAAGTCAATGTGCCAAAGGAGGAGTGCTTGGCCTTTTCGCCCTGTGCTTAAAACAACACTCGGTACGCTGCCGTGTCTGAGAGAACTGTGGGGGTGAGAGACCACCGTGAGTCTTTTAGCTACTTGCGTTTAGCTCAAATTTAGCAGAACAAGTTTAGACCAAGACTCAGCGCAAAAGCAAACTTCAAAGTGCAGCTTACGTTTCATGATAGGTCTTTGCTTCTTTGGAAACCCAAAACCACCATTCCTCTGTTTATAATTAAGGAGAGCAAATTAGCCTGCGTCATGTGTTGAACAGAGAGCGTTTCCTTCACATTAGCTTCTACAACAACCATGAAAGTAGCAAGTCTCTAACTAAAGCCAGCTAACTAAAAAAAGGTCCTGACCTTCTTCAAGCCACCATCATTAAAAACAAAGTTAAAAAGAGTGAAAAAACTGATATAAAAAGAGGCTAGCTTTTGTTTTTGTAGCCGTTATGTAGTTAAAAAATAAACTTACCAATAAAATTGAACTCGAAATGAATCTAGCTTTTTTCTAGTTGTCACGCAGTGAAAATTTAGAAACTAACCAATAAAACTAATCTCGAAAATGAACCTAGCTTTGTTTTTGTAGCTGTCATGTAGCTAAAACTCAGAAACTTTGCAATACAGATTAACTTTAAAATTAATCTAGATTTTGTTTGTTTTGTAGATAAATGGTGTAGCCAAAACTTAGAAACATTCCAAAAAATGACAAACAAAATGAGGCTAGCTAAGAAGTAGCGCTACAACCCAGAGCAAACCACTGTCGCTAGTTTGCACTGAAAGAACTACAACAGATGCTGCAATTAGAATTTTTAGAATGCATGAGGGGTGAAATTCAAATGTGTCGAGTCTTGTTAGGGGTACGATATCCACTTTGCAATATGCACTTTTTCTTTCCATTTGACCTCATTTTCAAGCTTAAAATATACATTAAAATATGAAATGAAACAACATTTGCGAAGAGGACATTTGTGACTTCTGTGAGTTCATCAAGACATCCCGAGAATAAACGGTGCAATGCCTCATCAAGCCAGCCACCTGCAACTGCTAAACATGGAAAAACCACAAGCGCAGCTTTAACCACACACATGCTAATACACACAAACACAGCAAATGCACCAAGCCACAGCTGTGTGCTTCAAACACGGCCAATCATTGCAGCATCTGTGACGTGCTTCATAGCTCATGACAAAGGATGTATAAGAGGAACTGTACCGTTATACCTCAACTGCTTGCATTGGTCATAATAAATATCATGTTATACTATCTTTTTCCAGTAGAAAAATTAAGATGGCCCTCTTCATGGGGTCTGCAGGCAGGGTTAAAAATGTACACTCACCAGTCGCCAAATGAGAGTAAATATTGGCTTGTAAATAAAAATCATCACTTGGCTGGAAACGTTATTACGAACTACTACTATTTATGTTTTAAATTGAATTGTAAGAATGATACGAATATTAAGTCAAATTTATGTCAGTTCAAATTAATTTTACTACATTCAAACCACTGACATGAAAAAAAAACTGCTAAATAATTTAATTGTCTGTGGGGGAAAAAAAATGCTAAATATTGCAAAAACTTTTATGGTGGTCAGTAAATATTTAAAGCTGGAGAATTCTTAATTGGCAGGTGTGCCAGAAAGTACATTTTAGACCCTGTGTGTCTGTTTAATTGTATCTGAATAAGATCATCAGTCAACAAAGTCACATCCATGGCAGGCTGTTGACATTGCCATGGATGCACAACAACCAGAGTAATCTACATGTCCTGATTTGTTCAAGTAGTGTGGTTTGTTTTAGTGAACTGTTCCGGTCCTCACTGTTGATTTGAAAGTACTGTGGTGTCTTCGGTTAGACATCCTGCTGACATGTGGGCTTCTTATGCCTTAAGCAAATCTAATTAAAAGGTAAGCACCAAACAAAAGAAAAACATAATTACCCAGCACCCTTCCCCCTGACCGAAGACATGCTGATGCAGCCTAACATGAAGAATGTGAGCAGGCCTTGGAGCAACAAGATCTCATTAGAAGTCTCCATCAACTAGGGATCGGTCAGGATGGTCAACTAGTCGTCCAAAAACCAAGGCTGACTACTTCATAATATACATCTTTTTTGGAGTAATTTAGAGACACAACCTCTCAAAGATGGTTTAGCCTGCTAACTGAATGAAACAAACAAACATCAAAAATGACACAATACTTACATATAACGGAGCTTGCTGTGGATTCAGTTTCATGGCACTGGCCACTGTGGAAAAGAAAGAAAGTGAGAGATTTAGAAACGTGACATTTCTGAAAATGCAGTATGTTCAATTAGCGCTCACTTTAATTTTTTTTATTTCACTGTTCATGTACAAGTACAAACTAGCCTCCGAGCATCAGGCCACACGATGCAGATGAGCTGGGGCTTTTAACAAACAAAACTGTGACCCTAATATCTATTAGGAGTACATTAGCTTGCCTCCATTCACAATGGTCACCCCTTCCGGGTCCTTCCATTAAAAACCTTCAGTAAAAAATTAACCCCAGCTAATAAATAACAGGAAATCCATTATTTGCATCTGTTTACAGGACTCAACAATAGAGATAGCCTCAGGTGTTCACTGATCATGTACATGTGTCTTTAATGCCTAGCAAAACTAAAACAATCAGATTTTTGTGGTATGCTGCACAATGTTGTGGAATTGTGAGGATTTAAATGTCACAAAGGTTTTGTTATTTAGCTGAATAACAGATGAGAATTTGCTGCAATTGCAAGAAAGACCAATGACTAGAAGTATCAGTTAGAATGGATTGAAAAGGTTGATCAGCACAGGATGTCATCATTTTATGTAAGGAAAATTAGAGTGAGGAGTTTCTTTCTCACTCCATCCATTTTTCCTTCACACAAACTTGCTCTAGTAGAAATAGCGACTCTGATGCCAGAGAATATGCCACTCAGTGGAATCTTGTGGCTGGCCGCAAAGCACATTGCCCACCTGCAAGCTGCAAGAGGGTGTAACGCTTCACCCATGAGAGGCAAAACCACAGCCCTTAACCCACAACACACGGCAACCCCAACCACTATCACACAGAGATTCAGACAACACCCAAATCTCAGCTGATTCAAGAAAAAACATATTAGGCAACACAGTAAGACACAAATCAACTCTTTTAATGTGATGGCTAGGCGCAGCCCCTAATACAGAGGGCTGGGAAACAAGTGGCATTGGAGTGTTAACACCACCTCCGCCTTCTGTTCACTAAGGATGATAAACCACCCCCAGCTATTGTTCCGTTATCTGCCCCGGGTGAGGTATTAGCCTTTAGGAGGTCCTTGTGGTTATATGAGGCCCCACACACAACACATACACACACACTACCAACACACAGACATTTACAAGCACACACTACCTAACATGCTCATGACTAAAATTCTGTTCCTTCTAACCTTCTAAAGTTGAACTGCAATTGATTTCAATGGAGTTTGATGTTAATATGCTGCTAAAGTAATAATAAAATGACATATCTTAGCACAATTAAAGTTGCCTATCTTGCGCAACAGCCTTCATGTCGTAAATGTGGCTATGATGCCTTAAATTACGGTCTCTGTAAGCTCACTAGGTTTTAGAACATGCGCAGAATTTCAGTTCTCCTTAAAAAGCAGAAACCTGCCTCAAACCCACTAACAGAATAAGAGTACTGTTTTTGAGGAAGCTTTAAAGATTACAACATAACAGCATCTTCATGTATTTTTAATTGATGAGCCAAATCTCAGAATGGACTGCAACAATCTTAGCAAAACTGTACAACCAACATAGCGGACAAGCTGAATTAGCGCATCTTATTCAGCACTGAGAAGTACCAAAAACAGTTTCATCAAATTAAAATTGTATTGCTCAATACTTGTTTTACTACAGTTAAAGGGGTCATATGATGAACACTTTGGAGTGTTACAAGCTCTTGGTGGATAAAGAAGATCTGTAAAGTTGCAAAGACTAAAGTCTCAAATCCAAAGAGATATTCTTTATAAAAGTTCAGAGTTAGCCACACCTACCTAAAACGGCTCGTTCTAACACGCCTCCACATATCTACCTCACTATGTGGGAAGATTTGCATAACGCCGCTCAAATGTTCACACAAAGAAAGAAGGCGTAACTTCGTTTTACAGTCTCACTGTAGTTTTGTTGATGCTGCAGCCATGTCCTGAAGACGTTGTGTGCTTCGTTGTGAAAGCGAAACTACTTTGTTTGGTCTTCCAAAAGGGGACGATATCTGCTTCGTCATGCCTAGAGCTGATCTGTGCTGGTCGCTGAGGGAATACATCAACTTTCACCGTGGACGAAGAGGAATCCAGCCCGGGGTCTGTCACGGCTTTTAACAAACAAAACTGTGACCCTAATATCTATTAGGAGTACATTAGCTTGCCTCCATTCACAATGGTCACCCCTTCCGGGTCCTTCCATTAAAAACCTTCAGTAAAAAATTAACCCCAGCTAATAAATAACAGGAAATCCATTATTTGCATCTGTTTACAGGACTCAACAATAGAGATAGCCTCAGGTGTTCACTGATCATGTACATGTGTCTTTAATGCCTAGCAAAACTAAAACAATCAGATTTTTGTGGTATGCTGCACAATGTTGTGGAATTGTGAGGATTTAAATGTCACAAAGGTTTTGTTATTTAGCTGAATAACAGATGAGAATTTGCTGCAATTGCAAGAAAGACCAATGACTAGAAGTATCAGTTAGAATGGATTGAAAAGGTTGATCAGCACAGGATGTCATCATTTTATGTAAGGAAAATTAGAGTGAGGAGTTTCTTTCTCACTCCATCCATTTTTCCTTCACACAAACTTGCTCTAGTAGAAATAGCGACTCTGATGCCAGAGAATATGCCACTCAGTGGAATCTTGTGGCTGGCCGCAAAGCACATTGCCCACCTGCAAGCTGCAAGAGGGTGTAACGCTTCACCCATGAGAGGCAAAACCACAGCCCTTAACCCACAACACACGGCAACCCCAACCACTATCACACAGAGATTCAGACAACACCCAAATCTCAGCTGATTCAAGAAAAAACATATTAGGCAACACAGTAAGACACAAATCAACTCTTTTAATGTGATGGCTAGGAGCAGCCCCTAATACAGAGGGCTGGGAAACAAGTGGCATTGGAGTGTTAACACCACCTCCGCCTTCTGTTCACTAAGGATGATAAACCACCCCCAGCTATTGTTCCGTTATCTGCCCCGGGTGAGGTATTAGCCTTTAGGAGGTCCTTGTGGTTATATGAGGCCCCACACACAACACATACACACACACATTTACAAGCACACACTACCTAACATGCTCATGACTAAAATTATGTTCCTTCTAACCTTCTAAAGTTGAACTGCAATTGATTTCAATGGAGTTTGATGTTAATATGCTGCTAAAGTAATAATAAAATGACATATCTTAGCACAATTAAAGTTGCCTATCTTGCGGAACAGCCTTCATGTCGTAAATGTGGCTATGATGCCTTAAATTACGGTCTCTGTAAGCTCACTAGGTTTTAGAACATGCGCAGAATTTCAGTTCTCCTTAAAAAGCAGAAACCTGCCTCAAACCCACTAACAGAATAAGAGTACTGTTTTTGAGGAAGCTTTAAAGATTACAACATAACAGCATCTTCATGTATTTTTAATTGATGAGCCAAATCTCAGAATGGACTGCAACAATCTTAGCAAAACTGTACAACCAACATAGCGGACAAGCTGAATTAGCGCATCTTATTCAGCACTGAGAAGTACCAAAAACAGTTTCATCAAATTAAAATTGTATTGCTCAATACTTGTTTTACTACAGTTAAAGGGGTCATATGATGAACACTTTGGAGTGTTACAAGCTCTTGGTGGATAAAGAAGATCTGTAAAGTTGCAAAGACTAAAGTCTCAAATCCAAAGAGATATTCTTTATAAAAGTTCAGAGTTAGCCACACCTACCTAAAACGGCTCGTTCTAACACGCCTCCACATATCTACCTCACTATGTGGGAAGATTTGCATAACGCCGCTCAAATGTTCACACAAAGAAAGAAGGCGTAACTTCGTTTTACAGTCTCACTGTAGTTTTGTTGATGCTGCAGCCATGTCCTGAAGACGTTGTGTGCTTCGTTGTGAAAGCGAAACTACTTTGTTTGGTCTTCCAAAAGGGGACGATATCTGCTTCGTCATGCCTAGAGCTGATCTGTGCTGGTCGCTGAGGGAATACATCAACTTTCACCGTGGACGAAGAGGAATCCAGCCCGGGGTCTGTCACCTGGTTGCCGCTCATTTGTCGGATCTGCCGGGCACGCCGTTCTCAGCTCACGCTAAGCCAGGGCTTCCGCTCACACTAGCCCGGCCTCAGCTCACTCTATCCTAGCATCAGCGCACGCTAGGCCGCTGTGTTTTTTGTTGTGAAAGCGAAACTACTTTGTTTGGTCTTCCAAAAGGGGACGATATCTGCTTCGTCATGCCTAGAGCTGATCTGTGCTGGTCGCTGAGGGAATACATCAACTTTCACCGTGGACGAAGAGGAATCCAGCCCGGGGTCTGTCACGTGGTTGCCGCTCATTTGTCGGATCTGCCGGGCACGCCGTTCTCAGCTCACGCTAAGCCAGGGCTTCCGCTCACACTAGCCCGGCCTCAGCTCACTCTATCCTAGCATCAGCGCACGCTAGGCCGCTGTGTTTTTTGTTGTGAAAGCGAAACTACTTTTGTTTGGTCTTCCAAAAGAGGCCACGACTACAAATCAGTGGTATTTACAACACTGTTCCAGAACAGTTTAACCGAAATATCCAGATGTGTGCAGCGCATTTTACGGAGGACTGTTTACTGATCCTGGGAGAGTAACGTTAGACTAAAATGCCGGCAGTTCTGACTCGCGTAAGTACGTTTTCATTTAAAGGATTTGCCACTGATGATTCAAACGCGAGTTTTGGGCAGTAGAGTAGCACTTGTTGTTTGTCATTTCTCTGATCACAAATGCAGACAGAGTTTTATGTTTACGCGGCGTGATGCAATGCAACGCAATGCGTAAAAAGACAGTATAAGTCATTCTAATCAGTAATTATGTCCCCACTGGATGCAACAAATGCCTCGTTTGAAATGGGTTTTAATGTTTTTGCCTTGTCGCTCCGGCCGGGACACGGCATTAACAGTATGTGAGAGGTGTAACATTTCTGACTCACGCTTGAGATATTCGGCCAATCACAACGCATTGGATAGCTGGCCAATTACAGCA